AATCATTAATCACCAGGAGCAGTTCATGACAGCCTCAGAACTTCTAAAGAAGGAATGCTGGAAGTAGTTTTGGAAAGTACTGTAGGAATTTATTTTAATTTCAGAAAATGTTCTCTCCGTAATATTGGTTCTGAATTCATCATCCATACATGCTTTCCTAAATTCTGGTAGCATTTTACACTTATTGGCATGAAGTTCATGATATGTTGGCTTTGTTTCTCCTCCCCACTACCCCTGAGGAGTTTTTCTGTCCACAAGAAGTGCTGGGCAAAAATGTTTAGCACTGAGGACTGAAAGTTTAGCTGCTTATCTGGAAAAACCGGGCATGCCTGAAGTCATGGCAATGAAATCAACAGACAACACACACTTCCTTATGAGCCAATGCTCAACCACTGTTCCCTTCTGGATTTCTATGAAGTACAAAAAGAAATATATTAAACAACCCTTCTCTGAATTTCAGAAAGTGCTACTTCTTTTCCTCTGATGTTCTTTTTTGATATACAAAGAAGTCCATCAGCATAGCTGCAGTTAGCCTGGCTGTTTCTGGCTTAGGCAGTACTAAGCTAGCCCATACTCTGCTCTAAGTTCTGTTATAATCTTGATATTCTCCATTTTCTGTTCTGGATAATGTACATAAATGGAAGTGGATGGTTCAGGATCAACACCTGTGTATCTTCAGTGTTCATAAATCCATTTCCACAGCTTCTTTGCAGCTGTGGGAGGTTATGCCTTTCGTCTTGCCTCATAAGCATTCTTCCTAGTACCCTCCCAGTGCTCCTGCTCTTGACTGCTGCCACTCTTTGGGTATGGGCTTGCCACAGTTGGATTGTTCTCACTCCTAGCAGACAAACCTCACCCTGGATCCTGTATCTTCTCCCTTAGACTACTTAGAGCATTGTGCAAGGTACTGTATTATTGTGTTTGTGTAAGAAGCTAACCTTGTTTCATTCACTTCTGCTGTCACATCCTCTGAGACTCAGAGGCAAAATCTCCCAGTATCTCCATATAACATCTCCAGGCCATTGGTACACCACTGTTTCCTTCCAACTCAGCTTGATTTTATTGAAACAATATTGCCTCCATTGCCTATACATAAAGTACAGTATTGCATGGTCTGCATGTCACGCATGCAAGCAATAGTCCAAGAGGCTGAATTAAAATTATGTAATAAACATGTTTGGAAAATTGTATTATTGTATTATCATGGCTTTTCTGTACTTGAAAACTGTGGCTATTCTACTTCATTGGTCTTCAAAGTATTTTTAAACGGGTTTTCTTCAAGGACTTTCTTTCATAACATATGACTGTAATGTTGGTGTGAGTCAGAAGAGGATGCTTGGAAGCAGACCTAGGGGTGGATAACTTGTAGATATGCAGCGGATCCAGCACATGTGGATGCATCAGACTAAAAGTGCCTGCTGTATGGAATACACAAATGCACCTACATTAGAGTATCCCCAAGCTTGTCTGCACCAGATCAATGCTCACTCAAGTGCTATGACATTTTCTTTCCCACATGAATAGGGATAGCTTCACGAAAAATCCTGCAAAGCACCCTTTTGACTTCCTTCTTTAAAGAGCCTATGTGACACTTGAAAATGGCTATAAACAACACCAGCTCCTTAGGGATTATCTTGTGCATCATATGTTAATATAGAATTTGCACAACAGGATCTATAGCTATTAAAATCTGTAGAGCTATCCACCCATAAATAATAAATGAAATGCATTTACATGGATCAGAATTCTGCATCACAACTCCTTGTCAGTTCTATGAAGCTATATTTGGGATTAATTTGGCCCATTACAATAATTTTCACATCTGAACACATCATAAAATCTCTATAAAGTGGTAAGCAAATGAAGAAGAGACACTCAAATTATTTACTATAAATTCCAAAACAAAACAAGATTGCAAAGATGAACCACAAAAAAAAAAAAGTAACGAGAGTATGCAAAAGATTGAATGTACCTGAAATAACTTTAACATGTCTTGAATGAGACATGATCTTGGCATACTTATAAAATCCTTGATCAGTTAGGAAAAAAAAAAAAAAAGGGGAAAAATTAAGGAAAAAGAAAAGTGAGCACGTCAGAGAAATTGATCTATACAACTAGAATGCTGTGAGGATAACTAATGGGATAAAGAATCTAATAACCTTTCCTTAATAGTTTGAAGGCAGTCCAGTATCACAATACCCCAAAGCACCACAGCAGATGGCTGTATGGAAGGAAGGAATCAGAAGCTCAGGATTTAAAAACATGATTGCCTAAGTTAGGCTGTACAATAGTCACCTTGTTTTCAAGCCATGAATCATTTCTGGTCTTACTGAACTGGACTCCTACCAGTTCTCTGCAAACTCACTGAAAAGGATTTAATTCACATCAACTACCTCCAAAAGCCAGAAGCCAATTTAAATTTGTATTGTCCCTTTCACTACAGTGGCCCGAACCTTGGATTTCAGTTTTGCCATGCACAGCCATCTACACTATAATTTATTCTAATTTAATTAAATGACTGGAAACTTTCAAAGTTAAAGAACACAGGAGCCAGAAACAAGCAGAATGACTGCTTCCAACATCTGTAGCTCTGGTTGCATACATCTCCACATTACCCACCTGAACTCATGGTAACAACATGGACACAACAATCATTTCAATATTCTCCTTCCACAGACTAGAAGCCTATCACTGTTATTTAGTGTTTGAAAGTGAAAAAGAAAAAAATAAAGGAGGCTTTAAGCTATATCCAAAAGGTAAAGCTCATATGAAACTGGACCAGCAGAAGCTGATCTCACCTGTCAAGGTGGCACATGGGAAACAAAAACATGTTTCAAGATTGAAAATTTACTTGCATGTGTTATAGACCAAAATGAATATGCTCGAATTGCAAATCAGAAGCTGGAGGGGCAAATGGAGAATAGTTGAAGCTACATAAGCCTCATGTGACTGCATGCATCAGTACAGGTTGGGGGCTGACCTGTTGGAAAGGAGCTCTGCAGAGAAGGACCTGGGTGTCCTTGTGGATAATAGTTTGGCCGTGAGCCAGCAGTGTGTCTTGGTGGCCAAGAAGGCCAATGGTATTCTGGTGTGCATTAAAAAGAGCATGGCCAGCAGGCCAAGGGGGGTGATCCTTCCTCTATACTCTGCCTTGGCGAAGCCACATCTGTAGTACTGTGCCCAGTTCTGAGCTCCGCAGTTCAAGAAAGGGAGGCAACTTCTCAGAGAGTCCAGTGGATGGCCAAAATGATGATGAGAGGCCTGGAGCATCTCCCATACGGGGAGGGCTGAGATACCTGGGGCTGTTCAGCCTGGAGAGGACTCAGAGGATATCTTTTGAAGGCTTACAGATAATTAGTAGGAATGACATGGATGAGGCCAGCTTCTTTTCAGCGGTGCTCAGCGACAGGACAAGGGGCAATGGGCATAGGCTGGTACAAAGGAAGTTCTACATGAATGTGAGGAAAAATTTGTTTACTGTGACAGAGCACTGGCACAAGCTGCCCAGAGAGATTCCTTCTCTGGAGATATTCAAGACCCTCCTGGATGCTTCTTGTGTGAGTACTATGGGGAAACTACTTTAGCAGAGGGGTTGGACTAGATGATCTTCCAACTCCTACAATTCTGTCATTCTGTGACATATAACCAATTAAATATTCAGCCCTATTTTATTATCATCTGGTCCCATATACATGTTGCAAACAGGAGCAGAGAGGTGATTGTACTCAGCACTGGTGAGGCTGCAGCTCGAGTACTGTGTCCAGTTTTGGGCCCCTCACTGCAAGAAAGATATTGAGGCCCTGGAACGTGTTCAAAGGAGAGCAACAAAGCTGGTGAGGGGTCTGGAACACAGGCCATATGAGGAGAGGCTGAAGGAGCTGGGAATGTTCAGCCTGGAGAAGAGGAGGCTCAGGGGAGACCTCATTGCTCTCTATAACTTCCTGAAGGGAGGTTGTAGTGAGCTGGGGGTCGGCCTCTTCTCTCGTGTCATTAGTGATAGGACCAGGGGGAATGGTTTCAAGCTACGGCAGGGGAGATTCAGGCTGGACATGAGGAAGGTGGACTTTTCAGAAAGGGTGGTCAGGCACTGGAATGGACTGCCCAGGGAGGTGGTGGAGTCATCGAGCCTGGGGGTGTTCAAGGAAAGGCTGGATGTTGTGTTGAGGGACATGGTTTAGTAGGAGCTATTGGGAATAGGTGAACGGTTGGAGTGGATGATCTTTTAGGTCTTTTCCAACCTTGGTGATTCTATGATTCTATGATTCTATGATTCTTAGTTTGGCCTCATTTAAGAAAAGCAATTGCAATCCAGTTTGAGACAGAGGCAGCATAAATGTGTGCAGTAAGAGCCTGCAACAATTCAGAACTTAAATCTTCCAGCTAGACAAAGATAGTAAATGATCTCTTTGCTATTGCCATTACTTGAAACTTGAGCAACCAGGAATTCCAGAGGGAGCTCTGCCAGCTTTATCCTTGCATACCCTGGCTCCAAGAATGTGCAGTATTTCCCACTTAACATCAAGACAGCGTCTTATAGAGATGAGCATCACAGCATCAGGAGACATTGCTTATTAAAGTACTCCACTGCTTCTTCTACTGACCTGTTCCCCACTTGTAGTCCTTGGGGCTTGAAAGAAGTGTATGGATAATCAGTAGCACCAAGAAGATGTCCTACAAAGCATTGTGATGCTGCATGATGTCATATACCTAACTCATATCAAAATGTGTCAGCTGGAAGGGCCAACAGGCATCTGAATTGATTTTGTATATGGCCTGGAAAAGGTCATCGCTGGCCATTAGGCAAACATGATTTCGATACAGGTCCCATACTTACAACAATACTGAGCAAGATCTAAGGAAGACTGTGTTAAACAATGATAAAGAAATATCATCATAATTATGAGTTAAAATTATTTATATCAGAAATTGTGTTTGAGGATTATGTTTTCAAAGTACTGTGGAAAAGTCAAAGGGGTACAGATTATGATGAAAATACTTACAATGTTCCTCATGTGTTTCAACATCACTGTCAGACGAGTGCCCTCATAGGATATGACTAACTGTACTCCAGGTGTACCATCATTCGACTGAGGACCTAAAACCAAACAGTTTGATTTTTAAGTAAACAGTTTAGTGGAAGCAGATGTTTAACATATGACAGAATTCATGAACTAATACATACAACAAACCACTGCCTGCTTAAATTAGCATTGAAATTAGAAAACACTGTCAGGGAGTGGGATGAAGAGAATGGTCTGACATGCAGTGCTCATCACCTTGCTTGTTTATACACTAACAGTGGGATTTTTGTTTTCTGACAGCCATCAATCTGAATTTCAGTGGTTAATTTATTTTTGTTTTAAAATTAATTCTGGATTTTTTTTTTAATTGTTATTATACTAGTCCGTATTGTTGCAATTTTTCCATCTTTTTTTCTTTCCTGTTCCCAGCAGAAAACAAAACAAAATAAAACAAACATAAAAGCAAAACAAAACAAACAAACAAAAAAAACCACCAACCCCCACAAATGCAAGTTTCCAGACCAGTGTCAAAACGTTTGCAGATTTACAATAACAACTTTTGTATCTCACAGATTTAAATTCTACATTCCTTCTTTTTTCTCCTGTTCCAGGCTGTTTTTCAAGTAATCCACTCTTTCGTAGAATTTCTACTAAAATTAATTTACGGAGTTTGACTCAATTTCCACTGAGAAGAGCATTTTCCAGCTTCTAAGCAAGAAGGATCAGGCTCATAATTAACAAATGATTAAGCATATCCTGTTCTTTCTTTCTGTTGGAAGCATTAAGCCACCTATCTTCACTGCCAAAAAGGTGTGTTCTTAAACTGGGGAATGTTGCTTACCCACCCCACAGAGACAAAGCAAAAAATAAAGATGGTTTTCACCACAGTAAACTAGATAACAGTGAACACAGTAGCTGCTTGTTGCATCTTATCCTGCAGTGCTAACTGAGCACATGGGGGATGTGAGCCAGTTTGTAGCATTTGCTCTAAAGCCCAGGGCTCTCCCCACACTGGCAGGCCAGACATTGCCTGTATGAACTGGCCTGTTTCTACTTGCAGAAACAGGGATTCATTTAATTAGACCACGTCTGTGTTGCATTCAGTATTTTATATTTACTTTAGATGGAAAAATAATAGCTTAATCCTGCTAACTTTACAGTGATCTTGAAGGAGCTGGGCTCTGTTCTGCCTTCCTCCCTATTAAAAATGTACCTGACCTGAAGACCTCAAACATAAAGTGCTGCTCCCCTGTACGTGTCTGGGGATCAGCCAATGAAGCACCAGCCTTAAACTCATCACAGAGTAAGATAATAAGACAAAAAAATCAGCAGCAATTAATTCTTATCTTATTAAAAGAGAAGGGAATGAGAAAGGAGGGTGAGCATGAAAGAACTGTCATCACACACTACAGTTATGCATCTGCAAAAAAAAGGTGTTTTAGAGAGCATCAGGACTGTTCATCCTCAGTAGCAGACAGGATTCTCATGTCTGCCTTTCAGTCTCAGCAGACACCTGTGCACTCCTTTGCACTCTCCGTCTCTCTTTTCCACATGTGCAGCAGAGCTGTTACAGTTGGGGTCGTGAGGGCAAGAAATCAAAACCTCTTTTCTCAGCCTTCACTCTGTTGTTCAGCAAAGGAAGCAGCAGAGGCGAAGTTGTGAAAAATAAGCCACGTTGAGAATAAACTAAATGTGTAACCTCTGGAGTGAGCAGAGGCTAAAATAACTGCTAAGCAGATAGAATTACAGTGCTGTAACATACTATTGACAGCCAGGGAGCAAGTGCAACTGCTATTTATCCTAAGGAAAGGAATTCAAATTAATTAAAAATAACAGTGGGAACATACAATTGCAACAGTATATTTTTTTCCAGGCAGTCTGGATATCAATGTTTCTGATGTTTCAACTGGAATTTTAGAATAAAAAACCATCTCCAGCTTCTTCCCTTTGGAGACTAAAAAATACATTTTTAATCACATCCTAATTAGAGGAGGGCCTGAAACAGACTTTTGAAGAATTGAAACGTTATGAAGAAATCACTGAGCCAGGACTTAGAAGACTGAGGTGCAGACCTTCATTTGTTATTCTCCCCTATGAGCTGTGACAAATCACTTAACTACACTGCACCTTATTTCATTTGTTGTATGCAAAGCAGGACAGTGAGGGATAAGGAAAGTGAGGAAAACTGCTCGAAACAGAAAATGATGCCTTTTTCTTTTTTTTCTTTTTTTTTTCTTTTTTCTTTTTTTTTTTTTTTTCCCAGGGTAACAAAAAGCCCACAGAAAGATCATTCCCCACCCTCAGCCCTTGCCATTCTATGTTGTGTATTTTTAAAAGAAATTCTGTGGACTTCTACCATTAAGCTGCAATAGGAAACTTAGAATCTTAGAGCAATAAAGACTGCAATGCCAGGAAGTTGTACTTTAATCTAAGGGTACAATTCTCTTGAGGGACTCTGTTACTTTTGTGAATTGCTATGGGTCATCCTGAGCAGTTTAGCAAGAGCAACAGAGCTCAGAGGCTAAATTACGTCATTTGAATTCAATGGTACATTTTGCCTTTTCGCTTCTACCAGTGCAACCACAGCTGAGTATTTATACCCGGCAAAGCATCTCTTCTGTGGGGGCTGGCAGTTTCACTTAGGAAAAAACAAATATAAATAATTTTTAACCAAGCTGAAAATAATGAAAATCATGGGCAATGAAAATGCAACTCTAGTTGACTGTGTAAAACAGACAGTATGGTTATGGGTATTACCAAAATATTCTTTCTTGCTGTGTAATAATTTGAGCACTAATAAAAATAAAAACCCAAACCTGTCAGCTCTACAGCGAAGAAAATGGGTGGGAAAAAAAAAAAAAAAAAAAAAAAACTGCAAGAAAACTGATAAACACTCTAGAAATATCTACAGCTTGTGTTTCATAATAGACAGTTTCTATTTGCGGGACTCAGATGTATTAGTTTATGTTTTCATACTTCCAGTGCTAAGTCATAACCTTTTTGAAGTCTAGGTGGTTTTAGCTTTAAATGATAATAAAATGCACATACAATAATTACTTCCAGTCTGTTCAGCTTCGGCAGATGGACTTGAGCTGAGACTTGCATTTTTAGGAACCGTCATGCTCTACTTGCACTCCATTATATGCAAGGACCAAATGCCAGTCTGCTGTAGATACGGGATAAAGCTTCACTGACTTCAGCTGAAGCAAGATTTTCCTCCTAGAGACTGATACTTCACTCACAGGTGTCAGTGGAAAACTTGTCACATATCAAACGAGGACCGTGAAGTTGGAGTGCCAACAGAACTGGGTTTGTAACATTTTTTTTATATCACTGGTGTCCGCATGACCCAGCACTCACGAGTGCTAGCTGCCAATCCCCACTGCAGAGAAACTCAAACACTGTGCCAGTTTATAATGTCTTTCATCACAGAACATAAACTCCGGAAAACTGTGGGATTATTATTCTTTTTGGATGAAAAAATTAAGGAAATTAGTGTTCAAATTTCATTTCCATGGAAAGTGGAATGACCTTCAGAATAATCAGTTATGTAGTTCTTCATCTAAGCAATTTTTTCTAGAACAGTGGAGAACTTGCTCTAAATATTCTGTGCAATGTTTCCATTAGAAGCATTTTAAAACAAGGTCTGCATTAGGCTTTGCACACTGTATGAGAAATAGCAGTGAGGAAGATGTTACATGGAAAACTGATGAAATCAATAGTGAAACAATAATTTAATACACTGCGTTTCAATTGTGGACTGCAAAGAAAATGGCAATGCTAATTAACAAAATGTCACAGCTTTCAGCCTCTTAGCCAAAAAAGGGTGCTTATGGCCAGTAAACCAGCCTATATCCAACTAAAATAGGAATGAAACTTGTGGCAAAAGCTTTATGCTGAGAACGAGCAACTGCAGCAGATTAGAAAACTGTATAGGATGAACATAATAGGCTACTCTCCTGAGAGAGAATTCACAAGAACTAGGAATTTGCATGGAGAGCCATATGGTATATTTTGATTTTTTAAAAGCTTGGATCTTGCTTTGGAAGGATACAAAGCCTTTCTCCACTGCACTTAGGTGGACAGAAACCCACTGATGTACACGCAATACTGATTGTACCTACCAGAACTGGACCGGGGTTGCGAACTGTTACAACCAATAGGAAAAACTTCTTAATTTCATAACTTTGACAAAACAATCTCAGTATCTCCTGACATATTGTCAGGAGATAAATATTCTAGAGAAGAAAAATAAGAAACATAGTTTGACATTAAAAAAAAAAAAAAAGATAGACTTTGTTTCTTTCTTTTCCTTTTTTTTTTCAAAGGGACATATTAAAAATATATGTCTGTGAAGTCATTCCTGATATCTGCTCTCACTCCCATTCAGTGTACTTGGTATAATGAAATGCTGACAATATTCAGTGCAATTCAGATTCTACACCATTGGGAATACTGAATCAGTATTCATGTCACAGTAAATTTAGCACTGATTTTTAATCTTTTCATTGCTAGGAGCACAGTAAAAATTCATAAATTTTAATTTTTATTTTACTTTAGTAAGTGTAATTACCTACAACATTTGTAAATTAAAGCTGTATAAAAGAAGGATGCTATCTTGATCAAAATTCATAACCTGCTTCTACTGGGCACTGGCTTTGTTTTATATTGATCTTAACTAAAAGACTAATCATTTGCGTGTGTAAAGGTTGAGAGAGAAATCAGCATGCTCATGGAAAGCTGCAGCCTTTACTAATTCCATATTAAACCTGAATTATTCTTCAAAATAGGTAAAAATCAAGGTGCTTATAAGATCACAAAACAACAAAATCTCTGGGTGAAGGATGCACTGTTTTCATGTAGACTACCTTTTTCCTGAAGGCTCAGTGAAATTATTTCCCACTCCAGCTCAACAACACAATTTCTAAAGGGCTTTCTTTCAAATCAAGTGTGTCAGGGTAATCTCAGCAAACAAGAGCCTCTAGGGGCAACTGTGTCCTTCTCAGCAACTCCTTGTATGGTATATGGCAGCTTGGCTTGATCACCAAGCTCCTGCCTTAGATGGACTCGTGTCTTCTCTTACTCAAAGGATGGACTGTAATAGTGTGTTGAACATCACGCAATATAGACGTAAGTCATCTAGTTAGCTGGGGTAATGCAGCAATCTAACTCCAAGAACAAGGGGCAAAGCGTAGAGTAACGTGTGAAATGATTTCAAATGGCTAATTAGCAGTGCATGGCTGGTGGTCTCACTGCTGACCTAACTTATACACTGAGCTGAGCTCATCCCTTTCCACAGTTCACTCCAGTTCATGCCAGTTGTACTCAGCTCTGCACTGATTGCAGTCCCTTCCTTTCTGACCAGAAGTGTTGCCATACCCAAAGCAACTCAGACCCAAATTCTTGATATTTGTTTCTAAAGAATTTAAACTGATTGGCCCTGGTTTTGGACTTTGTATACTACTGGCGTTCTATTAATAAATGTCAGCAATCTATTCATAGTACAAAGGGAGTTTTTTTTCTGTTAAACAATGCTTTTGTCCTGAACTTAGAATGAATGAGTCCAAACTCTAAAAGGCAGAGTTTCCGAGCAGGAATAAAGCACCTCTGTAGCTACACTACATTAATCTCTTCTGACCGTGTACTGACCTTTACCTAACAAGGCCACTGAGTTCATAGTGAATCAGCAGATTTGGGTTATCTGTCACACAGCTTTCATCAAACGCTCATTAATCACATTCTTACCTTTGTTTCTTTATTCTGTTCTCTGATTTTGATGCCATTGATAACCAAAAAAAGGGCCTACCTGTTTGACTATATTATCTCAGGACAACGCTGTTAAGATGTATGGGACTTATTTATTTTGCAACTTTATTGAAGACTCAGTTCATGCTTTTTGCACAAGATACTTACACCCAGATTCTCTGTAGTAATTAGGAACTAAATCTTACTGAAATGTCAAAATCCCTCAAAAGATCTCAGACTTAAACTCCTTTATGCTTCAGTTCACTCCTACGTGCCTACAACTCTGGTTAAAGAGTCTGTAGAGAATGGTAGCCTATAGACTCAGATCTCATGTTACATTTGAATTCTGGCTTGGATTTTCTGATCCAAGATAAGATTCAATGATGAGATTCATCTCTGTATATTCCTAATACATAGGCCATCTTTGCATTATCCTCTCATTCTTTTGTACAAGCTAGAACAATCATTAGTAATTTTCAGTACTCAAAATGGATTTAATCTGATAATGGTATATCCTGATCAATTGAACTCTAAAGAGGGAAAGTCTTCCAAAGGCTGAAAAGATAGGATGGAGATTATTTTGTTCTGATGAATTCAAAAAAAAAAAAAAGGTCACAGCAAAGGAGTTAATAAAGCCCCTGTCTTCACAGAGAATAAATTAACACGTAAATATGCGGAGCTACTTTCTGAAAAGTGGGTAATTGGTCATCCTTGGAAACTTTCTGTCACTTGGAGCACAAAGCAGCCGAACCGCGAGATTTTATTTTGCCTGAAAATTGATTGCTGAAGTCTATTTTCAGTGCAGAACTAGTGCAGTGTAAGAGAACAAACGTTCATAGTTTACTCTATATGGTCTATGCTTTGGCTCTTAATGCTGTACTGCCAGAGATTAGATTAAATTAGGTGTTGCATAGAAGAGAGAAATAGGTTAAGCATTATGGGAACAATGCAGAATGTCACTTAGTAAGAAGTGAATTATCACAATCATTAATAATGTATGCCTAGGCATTAACATAATGTTTTGTTACTCACCTGCTCCTCTCATTCTAAAAATGACTTTTGAAGTCACCATTAATTTTCTTTTCCTGTCCAAGTACACACTGTGCTTTGTCATAACTCAAATCCTTTCCTTCGGAACCTTCTCTGAAACTTTTGTAAAACAAGAAGCCTGCCACAGTCTGTCTAAATAAATGTTTACTTTGCATTTAGGCATATTTCTTCAAAAAGAATTGAAGTGAGGCTGAGCAGAATATGCCAAAGAGAAAGCAAGCTACAGGTCACATCACTAAAACATTTATAGAGACTTTGAGAAGTCAGGAAATATTTGTTGATTATCTGTACATCTTAAAAAAATATTGTGACATTAAAAACTTTACTCACCTCTGCATTACTGCATTCAATATTACTCATGAATTCATTCTTAGAAAACAGATAAGACTGGTAATCCACATACCTGATGTCACAGATGATGCTTTTTCTGCCAACGTATGTTTGGACCAATTCAGGAAGAAGCTGAGTACAAGCTCATTCTGAAAGACAATAAAAGTATTTTGGGGAATATTGTTTGTACTCTGTTCCCTGAATTAGTTCTCTCAAAGCGGATTGGAAAGCATGCTCAGAAAGCATGCTCATATTTCATCAACTTGTTTCAAAGAATAATCCACCTTATGTACTGCACTACAACTTCCATTTTTATGTCCTGCCCTGTACTGCGTTAGTAACATATATAACAGGTAGTTACATTCAGCTTTAGAGAATTAAAACAATAAACCAAATTTCCAGGCTTGAGTATTGTGCAGGGCAATAAAAAACGTGAATTCTAATACGAACTGTAAGGATTCTGAATCAAAGGTGGACAGTAATTACATTTTATTACCTTGTTTATAAACCGTATTTCAGAATGGCCATTCCTTCAGTCTGTTACAATTGCTACATTCATGCTGATGCGACTTGGACTGACACTAACAAATGGGCTGAACAAGAGACTTCCCAGATTCTAGCATTAAAATGTCACCATTGCTTTTTTCCCGGCCATGGAAAATGTGTCTCTTATCGACAAGATGTATTTCATGTAGCATTTGTCTTGTTTCAGTTTGACAAGATGTGGCACAATTTGTGCACGGAAAATAAAAAAAGGAAGAGTTTAGTGACAAATGCAGATAGTGAGGAGTTAACGTGTGGGGTCAGCAGACAGAAAAACAAGAAGTGTACATTCAGCACGGAGATAAAATTAAGAATCTTGGATTTATTTTAGCAGTTGTCTTTTATTTTTAATTTCAGTGTTCAGAATTTTTCCTTCCACACTGATTTTTTTTTCTTGAAAATTAAAAAAAAAAAAAAGATGAGCTGACAGAATTATTTTCCTTGAACTGAAAGACATATCGCTAAGATATCAGCAGTAGGCTGCCAATATACCTAAGCATGAGTAATTATTCTCTCATCTCATGAGTATAGCTTATAGCAGAAAGTCCGTGCACCTGCTTCAGCTTTTAACAACTCTAAACAGACAAGTTATTCCTTGTGAGACCTCCACTTGCTCTTTCAGCATGAGTCCCAAGGGCAGGAAATCTCAAGGGTTGAAAGAGCATATTTTTGGCAGGTCAGTCTTTATTTGACAGCATGAAAATAAGTAGGGAAACTTAAGCAGCCCTTTGAGCTGAAAGATTTTGAGAGAAGTGGGCAGGAGGTGGAAGGAAGGATACACTGACTTGAAAGAGAAATAAAAAAGTTCCACAGTGAGCAGCCTGGTGTTCTTCATCCTCTTCCCTTACTCTTTCAGCAATAAGTGAGCATATATTAAATAGTGATTTGTAAACAGGAGGTGGGAAGATTGTTTCAGGTGAGAGTTTCAAATTTTCACTCCTAAAGGAAAGAACTCTCTGAAACAAATGACATTTGGTTTAGAAAAGTAAGTGGAATTGGTGCAGATCATACATCGAGCATGAACATGATGGGCACATACATTGCAGTGCCACAGCACTAAGTTCAAAGCATTCCCTTTCTGAGTGTCCATCTTCACTCAATGGGCACTGAAGCATGTGGAGAAGAAGCAAGGTTAATGCTGGCAAAAGAAAAGGAAAGCTGCTGAACTTCCAGGTGGTTCCTAAATCCCGCTGAAGTCAGTGGTACATCAATCAACTAGACTCCAGTCCAAGACTGAAGCACATGCTTGGAGTTAAGTATACACCTGATGACAGTGCTAAGCAAGACAGGATCCATCAGAGCGCTGAACACGTGTGTTTAAGTGCACACCATATTTAGGCAGACACAGTCTGCTTCTGAACAAACAACTGTTGTTACAAAGGCATATGACCATAGATGGGAATCTTAAGAGACCATGTGACAAGAAGACCACTAGAACTCATCTACCTTTCTCTTTTCCCCCTGGAATTATTAGACTGACATCAACAAATGAAAATTCCCTAAGATGCCAATCATCTGGGGATTTTTTAGGAAAGCCTCCTGTCAGTTGTCTAGCCATTCTTACCTTGTAAGATAATTATGTAAAAGGTAATGTTGATATTTTTCCAGATCACCCAAAATATTAATTTTTTGGGGAGCAGCCAAGTACATATAGGTGCATCAGTGCTGGTCTAGTTATGACCTTTATTCAGCCATTAGCTTAAAAGGGACAAATTCTGCCTCCACTTACACTAGGATACAGCTGAAATAAGCAATTTAAATGGCATCAGGGGAGCTTGCACCACAGTAGCACAGTAGAATCTGTCACTGCTCTCCATTAGAGCCTAACAAGAAAAGCACTCTGCCGTTAGTGAAACACAGCCAGATTTCAGGCCAGATTTAATTTTGTTAAGAAGAGCAGTCTCTCTGCTTTTAGCTTTATTTTCAGCTGTGTTAGAGTAGATTTGGGGTCAGAGAACACCCATGCACCTGTTATACTTTAACAGGATGGAAGAGCAGCAGGAAAGAAAGAAACCAGGAAAAGCTGACCTTGTGACAGCTATTATTACTTCAGGAGAGGACAGGGGAAAAGAGGAGACTTTAAACCCTCCCCATTTTGACTCTGCTTGATATCTGCCTGCAGGAACAAAGGAGCAGAGGGAGTTTAAGGGACCAACAAACCTTAGGTGCACTTTGTATCACCATGTTATATAATTCCATAGGGGCACTGCTGCAGCTGTTTTCTCAGCTCTGTACATCTCAAGTAGCTCCAGTGAATGAAACAGAAGTGAAATATGGGAAGCTCTTATCAAACTTTGTTACTTTTATTGCAGCTGTTAAAATGTTACTCACTCCAGAACCAGACCACTGCCTGGTTTTCAGTATATGTTTGAAAATAAGTGAATGTAATCTACAACCATTTCCATTTACATCTACTACATGCCCTCTCACATAGCATTCAACTCTCCATAATACTTCTATAGAATCTATTCATACCTGATACACTGTTACTGCTTACCTTCTTGCACTGGTTTATCTCTGGCCCAAATTTTATACATGATTGCATACTGAAACAAAAAAATTTTATAGGGGCAAAATCCAACATGCCTCATCTCTTTGTACCAATTAACTTCCTGTGCACCCACACTTGCTACATTTTTTTTGCCACCACCAATACCCACTGTGATAAATAGCCCCCCTCAAACATCCCTCCATCACATTCACACACAGAGCATTTTTCACAATGTGAAAAATACAGAACAAATAGAATATGCTCATTTAAGGCTATGAAGCTTTGTAAGAGCAGTATATCTTCTAGTGTCTGAGCTGTGCTATCAATAACAATATCCACAAATTAAATGCCACTTCTTTTAAATAATGAGAGATGGGGAAATTATCCACAGAAAATTACTAGCTGGCTGGTAGTACCAAATACGCAGCATTGCTGCATTGAACATTGCTTTAGATTCAGTTTTATATTTCTTTTTTTAAATCCCAAGCCAGGTGCAAGTTGTCCTTTAAAGATAAGCAAGAAAACATTCAGCTTAGTCAATATCTAACATGCTGCTTCTTGACACTTAGAGCCAAGAGCAGACTTAATTAATGGAGACTTACCTCGCTTTTGTGTCCATAGTGAGCAGGCAACCTCCACTATATTGTATAAAAATGACAAGCCACTAGGGCAGCCCAAATTTATGTATGTTGAGGTTTGGGCTGCAACCTCCGCTTAGCCCATCACTCAATTGGAGTTAAGAGTGAAATAGAGAAAAACGTAAACAAACAGAGCAGCTGACTTTTGCAATAGATTTTTCTTATATTTTTAATATGTATTTCTGTCATCCTGTACATTACTTACCTTCAGTTTATTTTTCCTTGATGTTTCACCTATTTTTTGTGGCACAACTTGGTTGTTTTGCCATTTAATGAAGTAAAACTCTGAGAGTCCAAACAGTGCTGAATATGTAGCCTTGCTTATCCTGATCCAAAAGACCCAAACATTTCAGCTGGTTCAGACAGCCAGCAACAGTGCAGCTACTACAAAACAAAATATTCTGATACTTCAGAATATATATTGCCATTGATTTGAGGGGAGTAGAAGGAAAGATAAAAAGATGCTGAAACACGTTTTTGATCCTGCCCCAAATGACTCAATATGAAAATTGACTTTTGCATTTTAGTGGCTGCTGTTATGAATACAGCTTCTTGTTCATGTACATAGTCTGGTGGTGCAGTTATTTATAACTGTTAACCCGAATTTTAAAAAAGCACTCCTATTCTAGGTAACTCTTCAACAAATGCCTAAAAAGAAATCAGTGAATGAGGTTTATAATCAAAATAGACCAGACACTTGATAAAATTATTCAGACAGACATGGGCACATGTTTACATATTTGAACTAACCTACCACAAATATCTTTGCCAGCTGATGTTTTGGCACTAATCGTATTTAACGCTATCATTCAGGGACAAAGAACTGTGGCTTGGTGCTTTTGTTCTTTAAAGAGGAGTTTGAAGAAACATTTAATTCCATTTGAGCTATAGTACAAATGAAAAGGCAGCTGTTTCCTACATATCCTCCTTTGTTCAATCCATTTAGCAGAAAAGGTGTCAGTCTAATCTACTTTCAATCATAACCCAATTTTCATAATCAAAACTTAGACTGGACTGAAAAGCATGCACTTAAGGAATGGCTGAGGAATGAATTTGAATATAATCCAATTCTTCTTTATTTCTAGGATTTTTAATTACTTAATTGGCAGAACCAAGTGTGCAGTCGGTCCTGTGCAGACTTGACTAAACTCTTCTGTTCTGAAAAAAGTTGGTCACTGGTGTCCAGTCAATCAGAGTAATGTGTTTACTGTGATACAGTGATAGGAAGGCTATTTAATAATGAAATGGCAACTCTTCCCTTTCTGGCTTAGTACTATCCCAGACAATACTTTAGGATACTATAGAGCTAAAGTACAACTCAGCAGAAAGAAATGACTGTTGAGAAAGTACAGGAAACTTTGTTCTATGGGCATCTAATCTTACAAGATTTCTTCTACAATTTCTGAATTAATTATTAATTCCTACACAGTTTTACTCTTTCATAGGAATGACAGTTTGGTAATGCTTGAGAACAGACATCTCCCTAAATGATTTTGGTCAGGCTCTCTAGTAATCTGAGAAAAAGGACAAGTTTAAATAGAAAGTGGTCCTAGACATGAGGAGAGACAAAACAATTGTGCTTATTTTTATCAAGAAAGCCTCCTAGCTTGGCTTTTTGCTCAGAGTAAAATGAAGAAGACACAGCGACACATTTAAAAACGTAGTAACAAAGGGAGAAGTGAGAAAGAAGCCTTCAGCTGGAAGTACAAAGGAAATTACCAACTGACTGGTCTCTTTTTTTCTATGTGGGTCAGAATACATCCGTTTTTTCTAAATTTCTCACATCTACCAGCAGGAGAAGCATATTGAAGTAAAAATGATGATTCAATGCTTATAGAGTATCAATAATTCTAACAGTTACCATCTAGAACTGCAGGCTGGATGTATGTGGTTAGCAAGCTGATTTCCAGCATCCAACAGCACTTCACAGTCCAAAACAATCTGCTTATTATTCCATTTATTATCATGCCCCCTTCAAAGGCTGAAAAGGGCAGCTATACAGTCTTCTTAGGTACATAATTGTTTTATTTTCCTCATGGTTTATAGGCTGTGCCAGACTTGAATGGCTTTCAGCTGCTGAACAGTCCAGCATGTCTATATAGCTCCACTGGACCAGTTTAGAGCCACACCAGCGTTTGTTCTCAAACAGATCTGCTCATACTTCCCTACAAATACCATTTTCATGGTTGTGTCCTAGTGTTTCAGCAGCAACACTGGAAAAATTCACCTAGCTCTGCAATCATAAAGGGAGGAGATGAGGAATTAGGAAGCCCGTTGCAAGGCAGCATGCTCTAACTGATTATTAGAATTCACAGACCATGGAGCAGGAGGGAGAGGAGAGCATCTGGGCATGACTGGGAAATGTTTTTATTACTATCCCAAGGCTTTAAACAGTTTAATTTTTCAACCACAGATCAGGCTTTAAGACAGCAATGCTGGGTCCAAATTGAAAATTCATGTACCTTACAGCAGCCCAGAGCACAGCAGAAGATAGAGCTGTCCATTTCTAGGTCACTGGCTTATATCTGTTTTTCCTCAGCTGTGACCAAAAGGTGCTAATGTAAAACAAACCCATGAGTCTACCTTGACTGACAGAAATTATGCAACAATTAAACTCAGTCTGTGCAGTTTATTTAGCAAAGTCAGTTACGGGAGTCAAACACCCAAGTCAGCTGTCCGTGTTAAATTAGGTGCAACTCTGTGAAACACATAAGACCTATCACTGGAAAATCTTCTCAATTTCAACTCGGCACAGAATTTTTATTAATACTAATAAAACTCATGTTTGCTTTACATACGGACAATTTCCTTTTTAATCCCCACTACACAGACACATCTGGGAAGGCAGTAAATGGGTAATAGTAATAGGTAGGCAGTAAACATTTTTCCCCTACTCCCAGATGCTTGAAAATTTGAGGAAAAAATACCCCCCTTTTGGCATTCTAGACTATTGATGCTATTAAACCAAACCAGACCGAGTTTGTGCTGTAGCCCTGAGGCCATGGGAGATGACAAGGCCCATCTGGCAGAGTCCCAAGCTCTACTGGAGAACATGTTAACAGTGAAATAGCAGGGAGATCATGCCCTGGCTCCATTAATTTACTACCCTCTATGTAACCCTAGGGTCTAACAAAAAATCACTGCTTTTTCCTCTCCACCCAATTGTTTTCCTGACTACTGCTGGTCAAAGGAAGATACACTCTTCTCTCAGACTCCTGTGTTGCTGTCAGTAATTGGCAACTCAGCTTCTGAAGTGATGCAACAAAATTATTTAACACTGTGCTGATGTACAAGAGACCTCTGAGATGCTCTAGGTCCTGGCTTTCACAATGTTGAGGTGCACATAGAAGACAATGAAGAGTCATTTTTTGTCACTATTGCGACTTTCCATTTTGAAACAGGAGGAAAACATGAAGTCTCAGGAAGCAAGAATAAATAAAAACCTGACAATTTTAATGGACATAATGTATCATTTCAATAATAATGACATATCCTGATTTCCATTTGTTTGTAAAACTATATCTTATGTATGTTGCTTAAATTTTGAAATGAAGAGTGTTTATAGTCTGAAAGAATGAAACTTCTTATTTTAAAACTGTCAAAATTGGACTTCTTCAATATTTCAAAATGTACTCCTCTTTTAGACATTATATTCCTCAGAACCTACTCCTTACTGTCAAAAATACAGTGAGTCATTACTTTTGGATGGCAGCAAAGGAAGAGAAATTATTTTGAAAAATATCCTGCCTGAAAAATAAAACTATTTTTCAGTCACTCCTTTTGTCTTAAGCTCTGACGAATGTTACAATGGCTTCATCTCAAAATGACTGCATTAAAAGTGTCATTTATGGCATTTATTTTTTTCAAATGAGGCAATGGAAAGCTTCCTGGTTCTTTTCGTAGAATGCTACTGAACGTCACATGCAAATAAAACAAGTATTGGAAATGCTCACATTTGCCAGTTTTCTAGATCCACTTAATAGCTGCTTCAAGTAGAGGTTCAAATCCTTCACTCTCTTATGTTCAAGATCTATAAAAGCTGTATGCCATGAGTGGGGAAACCTGCAAGAGAAGAATATTTTATTTATTACCCTTGTACTCCATTTCCTGAAAATATTTCCAGCTCTATTTAACAGAACAATGTTAAATCTTTCCAAGATATTTTTCAGGTAGGTGAAGGAATGAGTACAGTTCCCACAGGTTGGTTTACCTTCTGATTCTCATTCTTTTCTGATGATAATTTGATGATATTCTTTTTTATACTGTGATCTTTTTCTGTCTAAATAAGTTTATTCTAAATATGTACGTTAAAAAACACTGTAATGCAATTACTTGTGTATTATTGTATCTAAATACTTCTAAAAGTCTCTTTTTTATGATGGCAGGAAAACATTTTTTGCATAGCGCATAGCATAACAGATCTGTGATCTCAGCTCAAGGCTCATGCTATTCGAAGCCTTGCATTACAATACCAAATGCCTAAACCTTACAGCAACAATATGACATTTTATATTACTGCTTGTTTTTTTTGTTTTTTTTTTTTTACTTTAGTATTTTGAGTGTAGAAGTTTTTCAGAGCAGGTACCTGATCCCCCATGCAGTTTCAGGCATGACCACAATAAAGGTAATACATGAAAACAAATTATCATTACAATAACAAAATCAATCCCAACAAAAGCAATAACAGTAATAATAGCCATGTTCCATAGAATTTTTATTAAGATGAATTTCATTTCAATTTTCTAAATAAAGTATGTAAGCCCAGAGTGGTCTTAGGTCAATTTTCAAATGTTATGAGTGAAAATGTCAAAATCCAACAATTCTTTCACTCAAATCATCTTTGTGTTTTAGAAAAAGCATATGTTAGATCATTCGAAAGGTTAGATTTTTAGCAGTCATAGATCACAGAACGGCTGGGGTTGGAAGGGATCAGGCAGTTCCAATCCTCTGCCGTGGGCAGGGCTGCCACCCAGCCGATCAGGCTGCCCAGGGCTCCATCCAACCTGGCCTTGAGTACCTCCAGGGATGGAGCATCCACAGGTTCTCTGAACAACAGTACACTTATCAATTTACATTAACCTTGCCCTGAAAAGGACGATTTCTCTCAGGTTGAAGAAGCATTTGAAAAGTGGTCTGCACTAAATTGCATGTAATGGGTTTTATGATATAGATTACTAATACTGGAATTGTTAAACTAACATTCTGCTTTATGCTTACTAATCTATGAGATACAGAATAGTAGAAGCTTTGGTCTGGTCATATTTCATTGCCACTGTAAATACTTAACAGTGTATTGCTTACAAGCATCTTTTTCCTGGTACAACCTGATTTATCCAGCAGATCTCAAGAGATATCTGAAGGCTTCAGACAAATGACTAAAGAGGCAACTAGCAGCAAAATATGCTGCAAAGAGACACTTGGCCGGCCTTTTGAAAGACAGCTGGTCAGCTCCTACTTTGAACGAGTTTTACACAATTCCACAGCTCACTGATAAGATGTCATCAGCTTTTCAAAAGCGAGCCAAATAGTAACACATGGAGCAGTGGATTCCCATCCCCAGAGAGGAACATTGACCAGCAATTGCAAACCACCCAGCTGTAAAAATGGCACAGCAGCCTCACCTACTGAAGATAAAATGACCAAAGATGATTAACCTACACATTTTTCTTACCAAGAGATTGATGTAATTAGATTGCATGAATTGTAATTAGACCTGTTGGGTTGTTTTGGTCTTTTTTTCCTGCTTGTTTTGTAACAGAAGGCCTTTTCTGAAGAGAACACTGATTAAAAGACTCTGTAACTCTTTTAGGAGAGGACAGATCTTCACACATCTTGTGTAATACTTCTGAGGAAGAACTCAGTGCTGCCATAATGTAGTCTGTAATTAAAATGGCAAAGGGCCAGGATGATAGCAGCATATTGTATGTATGGGCTTTTCATTATTTTTTTCCTATAGCATGTAAAGTTCAGGGCTTAGTTAGGCACTGTACAAATGAATAATGAGAGTCAATTCTTGTCTCAAGAAATTACAGTGATAGGATACAATGGGGCAGGCAATGTGCCATGACCCAAGACCCTCATGTATGTGAACTGTACAGATAAAAATAGAACATAGGTCATTTGACACACATAGATAGCCTGTGAATGTTCTGGGCTCCTCTGTGGTACAGAAAGGATTTCTTTCAAGAGATGGTAGTGAAGATCTGTTAAGAAGCAGCATAAAATAAATTAGGCTGTATGAACAAAGAGATGACTCTGGCTGTATAATGTTGGCCCTCAGTAGATACAGCCTAAGAACAGTGGCCAAACTGAGGACAGATGCATGCATTATCTGTAACTTCAGAGACACTGTTGATTGATGGCACCCATAACTCTCTGCTGCAGTGAAGGGCAATATGAACCTTCTAGCAGAACTGAACATTTCTTTAAAGCTCCTTCATGCTTTCGCTGAATTGTGCCTGCAGCTGAAACTGATCTTGTATTTGTGAACATACTTGTATTTGATAAGTATGTTCCATGTTGGTTTTCAGTTTTGCATCTACTTTAAGGAGATCAGAAAAATATAAACTTCTGCCATTTTGAGACATCTTGGGTACCAGATCCCACATCTTACTGAAAGAAGGAAGCCTGCAGAACATTTCTGTGTATAAATTATGTCATTTAAATGCTTTGCTGAGTGAAAAAAATTTTGGCCTTAAAAAAAGCTCCACAACAACACTATTAATATTCTGTCTAAAACCAAGAGAGATGGTGCTAGAGTACAAGCATTTGTTTGGGGCAGCTGTGCTTTGGATTATAAATACAGGATGAATGTTTACATGCAATAGCAGGATTTCAGATGCTGACAACTCTGAGCTTTTGCCATTAGTTTATTGAAACATAGCCAGTATTTAGAACCTCTATGAGGCAGACTCATATTGTGATATTTCCTCTTAATGAAACATAAACATATACAATTTCATGAAAGCAGTAACCGAGTCCCTTCTGCTAGCAATTCCAATTATTTGGTAATATCAGACATTTTGTTTTTTAATCATACATTTTCAAACTGCCTTTGTGGCTACATTATGAAACAAGGCTTTTGCCTTGCATTGAAGCCTCTGGCATTGGCCAGTGCTGGAGGCTTGCATCACACAAATTAATGGCCTTATGCCAGTTCAAGTAGTAACTTCCTATAAAGAAGCAGCTTAATTTTAATTATAACAATAAAATCTGAAGTACATTAGAAGTCTCCAACCAACAAAGATACACTAAAAAGCAAATCAAAGCATTAACATTAAAGAACACAATACAAAGAAACATCATAAAATGTAGCACTTTAACACAGTCTTGGGAAAGATCACTGAGTGACAGTTTACTGCTGAGACTGAATTTTGGCAATAAAGTTCTTTAGGTCTTTGACACAGCCTCAGTGAACTCAAATTAATTTTCTCTGGGTTTGGGAACTCACATTTGCATTGAAAATATAAGTGATTTCAATAAAGGTACATGTATGTGAAAAATAACTAGTACTGTTTTTGAAACTCACTACAAGGTTTCTTAAACCTATGCATTTCTAAAAAGAAATATATTTTCCTTCAAAGAGATATGCTCACTTTAAAAAAGAAAGGAAGGAAGGAAGGAAGGAAGGAAGGAAGGAAGGAAGGAAGGAAGGAAGGAAGGAAGGAAGGAAGGAAGGAAGGAAGGAAGGAAGGAAGGAAGGAAGGAAGGAAGGAAGGAAGGAAGGAAGGAAGGAAGGAAAAAGCCAAACATACTTGTTAAATATTTTATCTCACAAACTAATAATTAGCATGCACATGGCTCTAAATCAAGACTGCAAATCAAACACTTTTGGAATGCAGTGAAATTTCAGTTTCACTAACTGCGTCAGCCAGTTAATACGCTGATAGGCAGTTGTAATGAGCAAAACTCCCTCAGGTAGGGACAAGATGTTCCAGAATTAACCAGTTTAAAGCCATTTAACTGAATGACTCTCACAAACTCATGGGAATACCAAATTTGAATCTAAAATTCATTGAATTTATTTTTAAAGTCAAAATATTTTGATTGTGGATATTTACTTCAAGTCGAGCATCAAAGACCTCTTTTTTTCAGGTGTATCATTGGAATCTCAGCTTGGCACAGGTAAACTGTGCATCTTATTAGCCAGTCTTTTGTTTTATCATAGATTGAGGTTGAAGTAGATCTTGTATTAGGTGAGCCAGCATGGCTGTCTAGAAGACTACTTTGTTCTCAATAGTTTATACAGTATAATACATATAGTAGCTGTAGAAAACATTTTACCAAAGCAGCAGAAAATTGTTTTATAAGGAAGAGATTTTTTATGTAAGATAGAAATATGAAGCTGTGAAGGTACACACTTCAGAATATTCAAACTGAGAATAAACATATACACGGATAAAAAGGAATAATCATAATTACTGAAATTAATGAGTTTATTTTTCAAGAAATGTTAAACTGTCATTATGGAGTGACATAAAGCATAAATCATTGTTTTGAGGGTCTGGGAGAGCAAATAAGGTTACTGCATATTTCTCAGCTGGGGCGCATGTACATATTTTTGTAAAAAAGTTTGTAATTCCTGTCAGGATCAGAAATCAGCACGTTTCTGGTCTGTGCCTGTGTGGACATTCCTACACTGGTTTAGCATACTGATTTTTCTAGGAATTTTGACCAGCATCATGAAGAAAATAAAATTATTAAATGCTTAATCACATCTTTAATTTAGTAAATACCACTTGCCTTTTTATTTCAGAAATACCTGTGATAAGAGCAAACTGCTCCCCTCTTCTCCTTCCATTAAAAGAAACCCCAAAACGACAAGATATATAAAATTCAGCTGTAGCAATATTCTGTGATTCAGTTTCTCCTAGGCTGAATAGAAGACTTGACAGAATATGTCTCATTGCCTTTGTGATTCTAAAAATATGCCTGCCACACATTTTCTTACATTTTTATCTGTGCAGAGAGAATCATTTAACAGCAGAATAACATTCACAAATATGCTGCCTTACTCTGGAAGTGCATGTGATGGAAACTGCTTCTGGAGATTGCTGTGAAGTTCTGAGAACTGGCCAAATGTTTTCTCCACAAAAGTGACCACATTGCAGGTTTGCACCACCTGGACAAGATATAACTGCATTGGGAAAAAAGGAGAGGCAGAAAAGACAAATGATCAGAGAGGCACATTAAAAAATATTGTACAAGAGAAAATAGAGGGTGATTTTTACAAAGAAAAAAATTTCTTTAATGTAGTGCCAGGAGCCAGAGAATTTAGTTTGTAATTTATGGTCTTTGTTACAAAGAAGGAGAAACTTGCCTGGATAGCATACAGCTCAAACACTGAAAGATCACTGCAGTGCGTGAAAACTAATAATGCACCATTAAAGCATCATATAACAGTCTGCAATTTCTATTAGGCTTCCTAATTTCGTGCCATGCTTTCCTTCTGGATACTTTAATTAGCTCTTGATTTATTTTTCACTATTGGGCAGGAACCTTTCTCCTTAACGGCTCCCTGCTAATAGCTGTCTGCCTGGTGTTCTTTCTCTCTGCTACCTCATTGCTTATGGCACTCCTGTGATCTTTTCAATGTGGTATAAAAGAGGAGGGAGAGTGCATAACCTCACAGAATCATTAAAGATAAGTAAAGAATATGACACATACGTAGTCAGACTTTTTGCTGAACCCCAAAATGGTGGCTCTTGCAATTGACTTCTCTATATTCAGCATCATCCATTCTTGAGGGACAGTCTCTTGAGATGGAAGCTTTGCAGAGCTTGTCAGTGACATGTGTGCAAGCGTGTGGATCAAGTTATTGAGCTTGACAGGAAAGCACTCCAAACTTTCCTTTATTTTCCTGAAGAACAAACAGAAGACACTGTATTCATATATCTGTTTGGCTCCTATTGATCCTTGGTTTTATATATACAAGTACCAAAAAACCCAATACCTAAATCCTAAAACCTGCCTCACATGAATATTTACCCATATACATACAAACTCACCACTGTTTGCAGCAATACATGTGCAGCCTCGCTACTTAGAAGACCATTTCTTCTGCAGCCTCTCTCATGACTCACCTTGAGGCAGTTACTTTTCATAAGCACCATGGAACAGAGACAGTCTTATGTGTTTTGAGGGATTCCAAGGTAGAACAACACCTGCTCTTAGCATTTACTTCTTCACTGAACTAATCTCACACAGACTTAAATGTGATTGCACAAGACTAAGCATCTTTTATGTCCAATGTGTAATTTAGCTGTGCAAGATGTCTTGCTAAATTCCGTACCCAATTCAAAAAAGATCAATATCAATACATGAGGAGCTACGTAAGATGTTATTAAAAAAAAAATTTAAATAAAAAAATCTGATTGCCTAAAGTTTTGAGATCTTTGATCAGAAAAGGCATAATGGATAAAAAAATTCCTAGATATACATGTAGATATGTAATGTAAACTTGTTTTAACATTAAAGTGAACTCAGTTTGAGAAATAATATTCTGAGACAATCGCTGCTCTTTGAAGAATAATATGCAGTGCTCAATAGAAAACATCTTCCTGAATTCAGTTGCTGGTTAAAATCTATTGAAATTTTTTGTTTGTTTGTTTGTTTGTTTGTTTGTTTCTATTTCACTGCTTAGTTCCACAGCTCTCTGAAGAAAATCTGGCTGGATTCTGGTGTTATAGAACAAGAACCCATTAGTTTCAGGCCATTTAGCAGGAAACCTCTATCAAAATTTCAGCGTTTTGTCTTATTTTTTCCTACTTTGGACTATTGCTAACTAGCTTACAAGAGTTGATGTTACTTTTAGCCATCTTCATCATCATCTCTTTAAAGCTGAGCAGCTTCACCTGTCACTTAAAATTTAATTCTTATCCATGGGCTTTGGTGTGTGGGAGAGATTGCATACTGCAATCAATTGAAGTAAACTCAATTCATTGCATAAGCCTGATTTTCATGATGTCAGATGTTTTGGTTAGATTGTAGCTTCACATAGGCTGTCATACCAAAAAAACCTACCTGTAAACAGCTCCCCAGTTTCTTCAAGCTAACCAGAGATGCCATTCAAAATACTGTGAATTTATCACACATCAATTAGGGTTACTAAATTAAGGAAATGAGATGTATATATTTTTCTTAATGTAATAAAACGGAAAGTATCTCTGAATTGATTTAATTAATTTCCTTATTAACTACATTATTAAGAAACAGATACATAAAGACTATTTAATAAATGACACGAATTAACACTCAGATGGAAAACAAGAAAATAAATCTCATTTCAAAATATTAGTACAAAATCAATTCAATTCTGACTAGTTAAGCTGCACCTGAGATAAACATTTATTTTTCAAAAAACTTTTATGCAATTAATTTAATCCACAGTTCAAACACTTGATAAATCACTGTGACATGATTTAGGTAAAGAATTTGTAACTTGGCCATACTGTAGCAGAGCAGTTATGGAATTTGCAACGTTGGTAAGAGTCAAGTTTACTTTCCAAATAAAAATAGTTTATTTCAATTCACACAGAAAAAGGTATTTGCTTACAAACTAGTATCAATTCTGAAATCACTTCTATCCCTAATATCAGAATACTGCTGTTTAAACAGTTCAGTATTTTAAGGGTTTGTTGTTCCTTCCATGAGTATACTAAGCTTCTAAAATGCTTTTAACACCAAGACTGTTAACAACTTACCTCATCTAAACTTAAACAGAGGCTTCTGTTGTTATTGCTGCAGCTTTACTCAGTGATAATAAAAATGGAAATAAAATAAAAATATATGCAGGTTTTTGCCCTCTGTATATTCTTCTTTCTCTGTATACAGTCTTCCCTCTTATAACAGAAAGCATGAAGCAAGCCATACATCACGTTATGAACAGTGAAGCCTCTTTGCAATTTTGATGACATTTCAATGTCTTCACAGCATGGGAGAACTCCAGTTACAGTTGTCTGCATTTTCTTTCAAGGGTGAACTGGCCTAAGGAGACTCATTATCCCATAGCCTCCCAAAGCTGATTCTTATTTATGGAACAGTGGTATACATCAAACACATATGCCATCTTTTTAAATTTAGCAGCTCTTGTTGGTGTGGATTGGATCATTGATTCAGTTTACTACATTTTAGTAATCTGATTTCCCTTTCTGACACGACTTTTTAAGTTCATTCTAAGAATCTGTGCTAGAACTTGCTTCTTGAACTTTCTGAGATGTCATCTCTTTTCTTCAGCCATGTTATCTTTAGCCACAGGTAAAGATTTTGGTGAAGAATTTGGTGAGGTCCTGGGTATCCTCTTGTTCCTTAAGATTACCATCTTTCCTGCAGCAAAAGCTAGCTCTGCCTTCACAAAGTTGTAAAAAATGTATGTTTCTAAGTTATTTCAGAACTCTGGTAGCCAAAGCAAGAATTAGTGCTTAAAGATCTATAGGTAGAAAAGTTGAAGTTACCTGTATAAAACGTATTGAATTCTCAGATCCATCAGAAAAACAAACAAAATAGGAAACTGTCATTAAATAGAGTAAGAGTAATTGTGGTTCATAATATTCCTAACACACAACTCTTAGGCAGCAACATGATTTCTTTTCCTGTATGATAATATACTCTTTTGTCATGCAGATAGGTGTCTGACCTATTTCTCAGAAAAAAATAGTTAAATATCTGGGATTTTTCAAATGTAATGCTTTCTACTTTTTTTTACCTGCTGAACAGACTTTGACTTTCAGATTTGGATCACACTTTTCTACTGAACTATCAAGTTATGATTAGGTGAAACATGCATAGACAGTTCGGTCGCTTGTGAAAACAGAAATGGATGAAAACTTTAGCTAACTTTTCCAAGAGTATCCAGTAATAGCTCATACTGTGATTTTCAGGTAGTGATTTCTTATTAGAGAAGTGTTCTGGGATCTGATGCTTAGATCTTTTTGGACACACCAGCCTTTCTTCACAGCCTTTCAAGACTACATACACTCCTGATTATTTATCCAGATCTCATTTTTGGTAGGTATAATAATAAATATTCACACTAATCTTCATAATCATTTTTTTTAATCACTCACCATGGCATCCTTCTCTTTTCTGTCTAGACCCGAATATAGCTTGGAATTCAATGAGTAAAATTTATCTTTGCAGGATTCTTAGATGTTAATGAACATGGCATTTCACTTCCATCCAAATTTTTCATCCATGAACTTAACAGGCTCAGTTTTAAAACAAATTAGGAAATGTCCCCAGCAGCTCTTTACAAACTTTTTCAGAACCTTACTGTTTTCAGGAATAGAATTTTTCTGATTTTTACCAACACATGTTAATGGACAATTGATAATCTTTCGGTTCTGGTTTTGTGATAACACACTAGTTTAACATCTTATTCCCACCTGATAGTATATAGGCAGTAATTAAGTTCTCTTTACAAACTGCTTGAGTGCAGCTATGAAAAAGTTTAGTGAGGTAGTTTCATCTTTGACCTATTAGAGAAGTCACCACCTGTCACTGGTGTTTCAGCTATTTGGAATATTTCTTGCTAGAGTATCTACAGCCACCTCAGAAACAGGGAGTGTCTGATCAATTTGAGATTAGTGTCATATTTTCAAAGGAGTTATTATGAATTGTCTGGTTTTGCAATGGCTGGCATTTGCAGCTTGGAGTGGATATGTTTGACCTGGATAATGACAGGTACTGAGTAAATGACAAATAAATAATAAAGATGGCGGCTGACCCAAGCAGAACTCTTCCTTCAATCAGGTGGCTGAGGATATGCCATGGTGCTTTGATGGTAACTGTCAGATTTATAGTGCCTCTCCTATTTGTAGATTTCTGTGACTGGGTTAGATCTTATGTTGCAGTCAATTGAAATCAGCTCTGTTTATTGCGTTAGACTAATTTTAATGCCTTAAAAATAATTTTGAATACATATGATACATACTGCCTCACAGGCACATAAAAAATGTCAGGCAGCAGATGACACCATGCTGACATTTGAAGACATCTGCAGAAAACCAAAGAAGAAATCTATATCCAGAAGTGAAATAGCTTTCTTTTCCTTGGTAAAACTGAGTTTGAGGGAAAGAGGAGAGGAGGGAGGGGAAAGGATCAAATTGAGTTTCAAGGATCAAACTGAGTTCAGGGCAGATGCTGGAGAGGCAACAATGTTTCATTTGGCACTAGGTGCACAGAAATGACAAGCAAACACAGAAACTCTTGTTTAACTCTCAATCAGTGCGCTGTTTATTCATGATTCGACTGTGCGACCTTCCAGAAGGCTGCAATCTGTGAGGTTTAACACTGCTGCTCATCAGCTTATAATAGTGAACTGACTCAATGTGAGAAGAGAACAGTACACAGAAACAAGTCAAGATTACTGAACTTATCTTAAGTCAAGAATGAGGGAAAAAGAATTTGGTAAAACACAATATTTTACAATTCTGAAAGGATTTGGACATTGAAGTTCAATCTCCAGTATTATAATTCCATTGGCTAAAAAGGTGAAGAACACAGAACAAATTAACATTGTTTTGCAAGGGACATTTGTAGCATTAGCCATCATATCTTGCTGTTTTTAAGAAACAATGGAGGTAATGTCAGAATTATTGCTCAAATCAAACTCAGGCAATTGCTAAAAGTAACCTATTTCTATGGAAATAGAGAAATATTCTTCTCATATTTCCACTAGCAAAAGTTTGTGGTTTTGAATAGATATGCTATATGATAGAATCTGAAAGATTACAATGAATACCAGGTACTTAGAACACACGGTAACTCTCTGTTGGCAGTTTTTAACATTCCAATGACCACACTCCTTATCTAGAAAGGAACTTTTTCAAAGAAATAAAATGTTCTGAAAGTAATTATTGAGAAAAACAGCAGCTATGAATTAGAAAGGATTTGAGGGCTACTGGAAGTTATGTTAATAAACAGTTTCCAATTTCACTTACTTTCTAAAGACAACTTGAAAAATAGATTCAAGAATCAAGTACAGAGAGACCTTGAGAAGTGTGAGATTGGATTTTTTCTCACCTGGATCTCTGTACAAAAGGAAAGTAGGGCATATTTTTTGTGAAGTACAGGATAAAGTCAACATAGGTAATGGTAGCATTCCTGGGGTTAGGTCAGAAAATGCTTATACAGAGGGAAAGTCTTGAATGGATCTGGGTATTAAGTCAACCCAAAGACTGCCTGGAAACACTTTTCAGAAATTAAAGTACAACTCAACATGAAACCTGGTGTTTTGCCCGTGTTTAAACATGTACAAATGTTAGTTAATGCATGCTTTGAATTAACACAAATAATGTTCAAAAATGAATAGAAATTAGAATAAACCAAGAAAAAACATGAAGTAAAAGGAAATATGTAAGAATTCATGAGCTGATGAAAAGAGACTTTGTACTCGCAAATGAGCATATATAATACAAACATACAGTAAGAGAATTAAAGAAGAAAATATGAAACATAGCAATATCTGAATTTTCTACATGATATAATGTTCTCTTTGGCCAGTAACAAATTGAAAGAAACTGGAACAACAGCCTTAGTGTGTTCACTGAAAGGATTTCAGCAGAAAATACAATTTCAAATAAGATCTGAATCAACAGGACTGTACGGATCTGCAGCATGGTGCCAGTTTCACTGGTAAGCAGATCTTGAGTGTCAGGTACAACTCTGAAATCCTTTACTTCCTCCATCCTCAAAACACCACACCACCTCACTCACTCCGAAGAAAGTGTGTGGAGATACAGCCCTGTCCTGAACCCAGCCCTCATCGTTTATCTTCTAGCTAAGAAACACTGCAGTGAGTTTAATCCTAACCATAACCTTATCCCTACCAGACTGAAAAGTATGCTGATCCTTTCTACTTCCAAAAGAGTGCTGGGCACTGGCTCTGAGAGACACTGATGCAATTTTCACTCTGAAGACTCACATTTGGTTAAGTACAACCTAGTCCTTTTTCTCTAATTAAGAGACAAGGTATTTCTAGCCGCGAGAGACAAAAACAGCTACCCAGATTATGGCAGAATCAAGACTTTTACATTTTAATTAGAAGCTGTATGTTTCCTATTTGAAGTGGAAATGTAAGTCTGTAATTTGGAAAAAGTGAAATTTTAAAGGAAAGGATAAGGTAGGAGTTGCCAGTAAATGTGAAGCTGTAATTAAATTTTAAAATAAAACAATCTTGTTAAGGTGCAAGAGAGAAAGCATCTGTAAAAAAAAAAAAAAAAAAAAGAGTTAAAGGAGAAAAATGTCAATGTTCTGCTGTGTGTAAAGTAATGGAATGACAGTTTTGGGAAGCATCCTTCTTTCTATTCAAAGGGTCTTCTCTAAACTCAGGAGGTCTCTGCTTCAGCCTTCTCCAAACCTGCAGCCACAGTTTTGGATTCCAATAGATATAAAGCACACATATAAACAGTGCAATTCAGATTGGCCAAAATCTTCATAGGAGCATCTGTAATGGTAATGAGAGTGGCTCAGCTGCTCCAGCTGAAGCTTTCATCCTATTTATTCACTGCAATGTGCTGTGTGACTGTAATGAAGGGTAGAGTGATTGCTCTTGTCTCCAGGCAGTTTGTGCAGCACAGAGAACTGTGCTGTTTTATGAGTGTGTCCTGTCTTTGAAAGGACTTGGAGCCCAGTGCTGTGAACTTGACGCATCCTGGGAAGAGGTCAGAAGGGTAGGACTTGCTGTGCACGTGTACGCAGTGTCCAGGATGCTGTGAATTCATACTGTCTTTTGGAAACGATGGTGCTGTATAGGATAAGCTCTGATAGAGAAAGACTTTCTTTCTCATACTGTGCCTAGCATGGGAAAGTGAGTTTTTAAATCCATTCAATCTCCATTGGCTTCATCTAGAGTATCATCACATAAACTGTTGGAATTATATGTAATGCAGAGAACTGTTCCAGTAGATCACAACTGCAGGCTTCAAACTGATTATATACAGGTCATCTGCAGCTCCTCATCAATAATTCCCTGCTATTAACACAAGCAAGTAAAAGGTTTCATTGCCCTAATACAAATGAAGCATTAAATATACCTATACTAACACACAACGCTTTTTTATTATAGATCTGTTAAGTGCTTAGAAGGAAGAATCGTTACATTTTTACAGATGGAGAAACTAGCTACCAGGGAAAGTAACTTGCCTGAAGCAAAACAGAACGTCAGAAGAAGATCAGAAAAGAAATATAATGCAGGAATTCAAAATCCTCACTCAAGTCAAATACTTTTATGGGGAAATTTTACTAAACATTCAGCAAACATTATACAGATTTATTCATTCAAAGTGTCTGCAGTCCAAACAGTGTTGCACGGAGTAAGTACACCTAAAAGCAGAGAGGAAAGTTGTTTGCAAATAAGCCAGGGTGGTTTTATCATGCCAGATGAATAAAAACTGTAAAAAAAACTTCCTATATGTGTATCACAAGTGCACAACTGTGTGAGAGACTTGAGGAGGCTGGTTTTAAAATGAATAAGGAGTAGACTTTTCAAAAGTAATCATATGAAGACCAAGTATCCTTTTGTGTAATTTCACTGATTACAACCTCTTAACATAACAGCTCTGCTTTATGCCTGAAGGAAATAAACTTTCAGTGTTACATAATGTCTTTACCTGGTAAAGTAGCTTGTAGCTTGGAGGTCTGAATCCTGAGGACGGAGGTTATCATACACATATTTCAGATCCTGAATCCTGTTCAGCTCAGGCAATCCTGCATGTAGCATCTTTACAAGAAAAAAAGTACCATTACTCTGTTGTACTGCATAAAATAAATTTAAATTAAATGAGACTAACTAAGGAAAGGAAGGATTTACACAGGAAGGACTTCTAAAACACAAGGTTTTGCTGATCTTTAAAGTTGTTTCGAAGCTACAGGAATGCCTGGATCACTAAGGTGAATAAATTGCATTGTAAATCTTCACACTGAGATACCAGAAGGAGTCACTGATCAAAATCACCAGTCTATTTTAGCAATTTATTTTCTCTTCAGATAGGATAATCTCAATATATGCATTACTAATCTTCCTTCATAGCCTTTTAATGATGTTAAAGGGAAGGCAACAAAACGGTGAGCAAAACCAGCCACCTGAATAGAAACCACATTCCTTTCTGCTCACAATATTATCCGAATCCTAACACAATTTAGTGCAACATCACCTTCTCATCTATAATTACTGCTTCCATTATCACGAACGTAGACTCCTCCTGTAAAAGAATTGTATATTCCATAGATGACCTTTCAAGTCAAGGGAGGAGAAAAGTTTCCTTAAACATTGACTCATAACAGGAGCCTTGACCTTGGTATTCAGAACTGCCCTCTGAAGAAGCGCATCATTCCCTGTGCATGATGAATGAAGTTGTTCTAGTTAGTTGGCCAGGTTTGGTTCAGAAGATAAATAATCCAAATATTTCCCTTGCAAAGTTGCAACACAATCAGTAGTGTAGACAACTGAGTGCATTCAATTGCCCATACATCTCCCTCCATGCATTGTAAAATGTCAACAACTAAAATCATTTTGACTCAATTCAAAACCAACTTATTTTTCTCAACGATTGCAGTAAGTAGAGAATGATGGTTTTTTTTTGTGTGGTAGAGAAAAAAAAATCACTTCTTCACATTGTACAGAAGGAAATGTATGTGAATTTGCAGTCCGTGCTGTGCATTCTTGATATTTATGTCTGATGTGGGTAGAAAATCCCACTGAGTTTTTTGGCTAACAGCAAAGACAAAAGGGAACATTGCTTTTATTTTAAGGTTTGGTGGAGACAAATAGAGGAAAGAGAAAAAGGATTTTTGGGGTCCTTTTCCTTATTCCTTCTAATCTTCTCAAATTTTAAAATCAAATTTCAATACTCTGTACATATTCCTTTTTTTGCCATTATGAGAAAAATCTTGCTTTCTATCAGGTCCAGCCAATAATATCACTTGACACCTAGCTTACTGTCTCACTGATCAGCAAGGAGCAGAATGCTCAATGAAGTAAACATAAGCAGCTTATTTTCTTGACTAGGAAAAACTTGGTAAGTGAATTAAGAACAGGGACAATAGCAACATTCAGCATTTAGGGAAACATGACCTCCAGCTCACTTATAAAAGATAACTTCTGTCTGCTTTTAAAATTAAGAGTTGTTGCATAGACAAATTAAGCTTCTTGCATTGCATTAGAAAGGGGAATAATTCCAGATAAGAATATAATCAGAATGATCTTTAGCCATCTGCTAAAGCAAGAAATGTCTTCAGCTGGACAGTATCTACATAGTGTTTTACTGGCTGCTTTATCCTTGCTCCACATGACATATCTTGTTTCCATTCCCTTATTGGAAGAGACTTCTGAAAACTGGCTAGTGATACTAGACACTAATTAGACAAGGTATAGAATAACTGTTCAGAAAACAACTACTGGATGCTTAGGGAAACTAAAATGTCACCAGATGCCTAAGTTTAAGTGTGTGCAATGATCCCCCTCACTTGGTCACATATATATCTTCACCTGACATATATATTTGATCTTCTCAGGCCTTCATAGCCACTGAGAGGAGCTGCCTATGCTTTGTTTGGGCCTGAATTCAGAGCTGATGTGTGAATCTTAGCTGACCATCCCATTAAAAATGAATAGCCTTGGTACACACTTCCCACAAGCAGATCTCCAATACAAGGATGTTTCCTGATCTTCTCTTCCCAAACGATATTTCTGAATTGTATGAAACTGCAATGTCTTGTTTGGAGACAGGAGTCTCAAGACCTAGTTCTGCTCTGTCTACGCACTGTCTCCTGTATTACAGTATTAGCTTTATCTATTTCTAGATCCAGCAAGTGGATCAATTAATGTCTAGTGTCACCTCTAAGCCTCTTTTAATAATTCTATACTGATAAGGGTGGTGAGGCTCTGGAACAGGTTGCCCCGACATGCTGATGCCCTGTCCTTCGAGCTCTGAGCAACCTGATCTAGCTATGGGAGTCCCTGCACACTGGATGGGGGTTGGACAAATAACTTTTAAAGGTCCATTCCATCTCAAACAATTCTATAATTCTATGAATCTGATTCTATGACTTTTACTTCTCCTCAGAGATCAGGAGAGACTAAAGAAGATGCAACATGCCCTGACTACAGAGAAACCTAAGTTTTCTTCAGGGAAAGTTAGCTAGTTATTTCAGAGCTCCTGCTGGGAACATTTTCTTTCTATTATCCCAGAGTAATCTAACAGCAACATCTCTGCAGATTGCAGAAGGGACTGACTGCATTGAAGACCAGGAGGTGGGCAGATCACATAGTTGTATTTGCAGACTGCAGTCTTAGGCAATCTGCCCAGAAATGCAAACGGCTGTAGATGAGAGGGAATGGGTGCTCCTGAGTTTTCCCTACACTCTTTCACTCTGACTTACACAGTATTTTCCAGATCTGCTTTCTACAGTGCTTACAGCTAATGTGGTTGCTAGATATTTGGGAAGAAGGAGTGTTAAGCATTTTGGGGCAATCTCTCCTACTCGGTAGAGGGCAATCACACAAGTACTGCATGAGAATCCATGAACAAAGCAGATCAATGATGAAATTCCTGCTGTTTCTCCCCACTCTGTTGCAGAAATTGGAGACGATAGAACTGTGTTAGGAGAGCAAAATCTCAGCTATGCCCCAGTCTCACTAAGGATTCCATTCATAACCTTGAATAGAATTCCTCATGCACAAGCCAGTTACCTAGGTTTTGCATTAGAGCCTAGTCATAACTTCTGGATTAATATTCTCAGTAAGCATCTAAACAAATATTAATTAATTCAATATTTTAATTCTACCTGTGAGAGGGGAAAATGATTAACCTTTCATACACAAGTAAATGGCAACATAAAGAAGTTATGGTATCTGATGCAGCATGTTAATCAGTACGAATTCTTAAGGAAAAAAAAATACATAAAGATCTTAAATATCTATACAAAAAAGATTTTAATATCTGTTTTAGTATGGGTTATTCTCTTTCCTTCTTGTATTTGCCATCCTAAGAAGGGAGTATGGAACTGTGCATAAAACCATTTCAGTGGCATCACTGTTAGCTTCAGTTCTGCTAGATATTCTTACATCAGCCAGTTAGTAAAACATTTACTATTTTGTCTCATTGTAACCATGAACAAGATTATTAAACAATTGCCTGAAAACCTCAAAAAAAAAAAAAAAAAAAAAAAAAAAAAGGCTGATATTTCTGAATCTTAAATCTGTACCCAGGTTCTTTCAGAGTTTTCTAGTATTTTGTAAAAAGGAATGCATTAGAAGAAGGAAAGTAGGAGAAGGGAAAGAAAGCCAGGAAGTTTAGCTTTTCTTTTCTCAGAAATTAGCACATGAAATCACATAGTTTCTTTTCTTAGGAAATGCCAGCACTAACATTTTCTGAGAGCAGCTGATACTGCTTCAGCTCATGCTGCTACAGGAGGCAGCAGAGAAGTATTAAAAGGGAAGAAGACACCAGAGGAAACTGATTTTTTGTTTCATCCTCAAACTTCTTACCATCTCCAGAAGGTTCAAGAGTAACTGGCTGTGTTTCCTGACTATATTATATGCTCGACAACAAAGCTCCACAAACTCTTGAAAACATTGTGGGTTTTTTCCACCTTCTGTGATGAAATACTCCATCTCTGATGTGAAGATGAAGGGAGCTCGGTCCCTTGAAAAGAGAACAATTACATAGGAAATTTCACTTAAAACAGCTAATCATGCAAGGCATTTAATACTTGTAACTCTTTATTCACTCTTGTTTTTCCAGTATTACTCCCTCACTATTTCACCTCCTCTTTCTTCAGGTGTAGACAGGTCTATTGCTCTCTCTGGTATCCCTGTCTAATTAGGGCAGAGACAGCAAGAGCTTCCTAGTAAGAAAGACAACAACTTAAAAGTTTGGAGCATACTTATTTTTTCTTAGGTGCTTCTTTTTTTTTTTTTTTAATTTATTCATTTATTTACATATTTTTAAGTCTCATTGCTTCACTTTCTTGACTACTGTCTGAAAGTGAATCTGGAAACATGTTCTCTCCAAGTGTTGAAATTCTTAAAGGTTGTTCTCAAACAGGATGGGATATAAATATCAATTCCCTACTTGGCAAGAAGGGTATTTAAAAAAAAAAAAGATACAAAGCCAAAATCCAAAACCAACAAAAATATATAACATATGATGCTATCTTTAAATATACACCATTCTGAAGGGACTTGAGTTACAGCAGAACAAACTCAAATGCATTCTCTTTTTTTTTGTACATTTACTCTATATTCACCCTAGAGTAAATGAGGTGCAGAATCTGAAACTGTCTTGTCTTTTTTCTTACCACTAGCAATGTTTGTGACTATGACATACTATTGAAGTAAAAAGCCTATTAGCCAGGCTTCTGCTAACAATCCTAATATATTATAGTTTCAGAAAAGACTGATATACTGCATCCTAGCACAGATAAAAACTACTGCAGCGATTTTCTTACCACAACTGTGCATATAGATGTATGAAAAAAGATTAGAGGTCTATATCCCAAGGGAATACATGCAATGAACTTGTCTTTAAATCAAAATAAACTTGAGTTAAGGAAATATTGGAATTTGAATACAGAAACAGAGTTCAAAATGTTTGTTTCTTGCTAACTATGAGCTGAGTCTATTCTGCTTAATGGTTCGTTCCTAATAGAGACAAAGAATCTTTCCTAAATTTCCTCATTTTCCTACAAAAATGTTTGCTTTGTGTTATTGTAGAAAGTTCAGGTGCATGAGATTCTAGGCTGCAGCTAGAAGAGTCAGTTAGAAGAAATGCTCAGGTGACCTTCCCTTTCTTATTTCTGGATTTTTTTTCGGTTGTTTACATATAAGACAACTTTGAAAACAGACCTCCTAAAAGTGCTTTCCATCGCAAAGCAGTCTAGCTCATCATTTGAATATTACTCCATTTCAGTTCATTAGTATTAAGAAACACAAAGATTCATTATTTATTTTCATTCTTACTTGCCCACATTTTTGAATACTGTAAGAGGTGAGTTCATAGTGTGACAGTTACACTCTGTAAGACTGTTTTGTGTGATTTTGTTCTGTAGCTCTCAAAGAATTACAAAATTGATTCTATTACTGATTTTAGAAAGCATGATTTTCCCAGAACCCCACATTTTCCCAGATGTTTTGAAAACAAATCTCAGTTTCTTATTTGTGGTCTTTGGGCTAAAATATCCCAAACCAAAACTACTGCTCTAAATCAATTCTGTGATTCTGTGAAACGTTCAATAATCATGTTCAGAATTTATATGTGATTCTTGCTGTCCAACTGCATCAAGAGACACAATTACACTATGAAGTCATAGCCCTTTCTGAGCTAGTCCAAGTATCCTGCATTAATCTACTCAAGCTGAAAAGAGACAGTGCAATCAGAAATTACTGGAAGAAATATGGTCTTTAACATTGTTGGGTTGGGCTGTTGGCCAACTTCCCAATAATGCAATGACTGCAACATTAGTCAATTTCCTTTGCATTATTACTAAAAGATCTATTTGAACACATAACTGATATGTTAGTATTTATATTATTTACAGATTAATTTTACTTGTGAGATCATTTTAAACGTTTTACAATGCTGTAAATTTCTTTAGTATTAAGACATCTGCTTCTAAGGTGATAGGCCTGTCCTCCTATATTAACCTGCAAAATATGATACAGAAATTTGCTTTCCATATTAGAGAAATTAAGCCTGATTTTTCTCAAGGCCTTGTGATATAAGAGCCTCTCCCATAAGGTAACCCCTGCAATAAGTCAGACACTGAAGCTCAGTGCCTGCATGTCTCTAAGTAAGTTGTCTGCTCAGATAGGCAGCACTTTGCGATTGAAATTAAAACCATAAAAACAGTTTAGTACTGGAGACAAGATCCACTAGAAGGAACAAAACAGTCATTTCTCATGATAATATTTAAAAGCAAAGTTGCAGTGGGAAGAGATGTTTACTCACTGAACATTAACAATTATGAAAATACAATCAACAGGCTGAATGTCTGTGTAAAGAGGCAGAATGTTCTTTGCTGTTTTCACAGACTCTGGAATATAAAATTATGAAAAGGAGTACTCTAAAAATTACTCCAGAAAAATTGCAAACAGTCAAGTACAAGTCACTATCCATTCTATCCATTTTGCATAGGAAAATTTACATCAGCAAACAGTAAAGGCTGCTTTACCTTCCATAAAAAAAAGCAATGGCTGCCCTGTTTTTGCATGAATAGTCTAATTTATCACAGATACACATGCAGATGAACCTCATGCAGCTGTACAGTCTGTGTTTCTATGTTTAACCCATCTCTAACCAACATTCTTCTTTATGGTTTATAGTTTAGATGGTATTGCAGGTGGCACTTATTGAGAAGATTCACAAAGCAACCGAAAGTTTGATAATAATAACTATAAAAGTAATCACTCATTTGGACATATATCTACTAAATAATTTGTTCATATGAAATTACCTAAAAGATCTAAACATGAAATACTTTATACCCCAAAACATACTCCAGATTACAACTAACCCCTATAACACCTTACATCCACAGGATGCTCAGAAACAATGACTCTGTACTACAGCCAATGGGACAATAGCCCTTTGGCATAAAATTTGTATCTAATATAATTTTGTATTTCTGTGAAAGTAATGAAAGGGTTGGCTTAAGTTTAACAAAAAAAAAGAAAAAAAAAAGGCCTTCCAGAGAGAATTAGTATGATTTGAGGTATACTTCAGATGTACAGTGTATAATATCTTCAAGATGATTTAATCAGTCATATCTTTCTCTCTTTTCTCCCCCTCCCTCTGCTAAAGACCTAAACAAGATAAATGAGTCAAAAGAAGCAACATCTCAATTTATGACAGAGCCAGATTGTAGGTCTAGCAGGTCTAGACATTAAAGAGCTTTAATTTACTACAGCTATGACTAAAGAGTTTACGCAAGTCATTCAGGGAAAAGTAAGGTTAGTTTTATGTTTTGCTTGATTGTTTTTCTTTTTTTTCCCCCTTATGTACTGCTTTCAGAGATTTAAGATTTTCATGGGAATGTGCTTTATGGTTCCTCTGGAGATGAAGAATGTTTGGATAATATGTCATGAGAGAGAGAAAAGAAAGGAAACCTCAAGTAACAGAAGAGATCACTGTGAAAAAACAAACTTAGTTTGGGGTGATGGGAAAACTTACTGCGACTTCACTATAGGCTAGAAATATGTTGTATTCTTAGAAGATCAGCAAGATCATCAGGATTTATTATGAAACAGTAGATGTAACCCAATTAATGAAGCTCATAGGATAAACAATGGCTTCCCTATTATGAATCTTATGGTGCATGACATTTAAGAAAGATACATTGACTTCATTTAATATTAAGTAGCAAAAGCATATGAGATAACCAACAACAAATGACCTATGCTCCAATCCAATCCAAACTTTCTATTAGTGACGTTATTGTTGTTTAAAACACAGTAAAACAATGAGATCAAAACAGATGAGTTCTTGTCATTACACAGACTACACAAACAGTATGAGAAACCATACACAACTGTTTGCAGCTTAAAAATCAGCTGCTCAGTAGCATATACCACATATATTCTCTGTCTACTTTAAAACTTCATAGGCTGAATCAAGAGAGATTTATAGCATTAAGCACAACTATGTGGAATTTTGATGTATCCATTAGAATAAGAGGAGCTTTTAGAGAATGATCCCTGACATCTTCTGCTCTGCAGCAAAAGCTGAAAACTTGTGAAAGAAAACATACACACACAATGAATAAGATTGCTTATTTCTCTAAGCTAAATGAAGATACCTAATCACAGTAGTTGTACACATACATACATGTATATATATATATATTTGTAAACATGGAAAAAACAAGAGTAAAATTGTCCCTTGTTTATATTACAGAATGAAAAAGTAAGCAACTGCACAGCACAATTTATCCTCAGCAAGCTTCAGCAAGCATACAGAGAGTCATAAAAAATATGCCTGGAAGGGTGACCATAAGAGATACTTGATTTCCTGCTCACCAGGACAAGATCAACCATAAACATGCTTCTGAGATGCTTGTTTATCTTATTCTAAAAGACAGAGTTCTACAATCTCCCGATCAGATTTCTGTTCCTCACAGAATTTTTCTCTTAATGCCTAGTCTAACCTTGCTGCACTTTAATCCCATTAATTCTTGCTCTTTCCTAAGGGAACATGAAGCTCTTGTTTTCTTAACAGCAGCCTCTAACGTATTCACAGATTTTTATTATGCCTGTCTTCAGTCTTCTGTAGAGAATTGTTTCATCCTTTTCTCATATGTCTTGTTTTTCAGTTGTCTGATCATTTTAATTACATTTGTCTGGACTCCTTGTAATTGGACCATATCTTTTTGAAAGTAAAGAGTTGAAAGTATTCCAGTTTTACCAGTGTCACATGAAGCAATATGGTTACTTCACATTTCATGCTTTACAATTCAATATTCTATCATCGATTCTTATCTGACTTTGCATAACTCTAAGACACATTTCTGAAAAACTATCTATTGCTGCTAACTCCAACTTTCAGCATGGTCAAGAGATCTTATATAGGTATCTCCTCAACAGTCAACAACTTTATTCTCTATCCCAGCATACTAGTTAGTAAAGAAAATACTGCAAGATGTCAATCAC